TTTGCACGGGCTTCTTCTGCACAGGCGAAGACTCGACACCGTGGCTGGGCTTGGCGTGACGTGGGCAGCTAAAATTCGGTTAAAATAGCTGGAGTGAGGGAGAGGAGGATGGGAGAAGGAAGGTAAAGCTGTTTGCACGCTGCAGGAGGCACAGGGCAGCCCAAGCCGTGGGTCTGGGGGCTGGTGCCCGTGGTTGAGGGGAGATGGAGGAGATGCAGTGAGGTCAGGCAGCCCGAAAAATCCTTGGAGGCTGATGAAGGCGCTTGGGTGCGCCCCAGAACTGAGCCTGCACCCACCGTGGCCTTCCCGTGTGCTTTGTGGCTGTACGTAAAGGTGTTGAAGGCACCCACGGGTGCCTTCAAGAGCTGTGGGGAGCTTGGGGTTCTCTTCGTGCCATGGGTTTGCCGGCCGTGCCTCTTCCACGTGGTTTGTCCTCAGGTTTTAGCCTCAAGTGCATCAAGGATAAAAAGATCCCCATCGGCGTCACCGTGGTCGTAGCAGCGTTGCTTCTCACCATCATCGCGCTGGCGGGTAAGTGGCTGAGGATGGAGGTGCCAAAATCTTCTCCGGCAGAAAACACACCAGCATAAGGTTTTTTTTCTTGTTTCCAGCTAAGAAATGCCCATCCTGTCCGTCCTGCCCCTCTCCCGTCCTTCCCAGCTGCCTGGAAAACGGGATCGGGTACGGGGAGAAGTGCTTTTACTTCGTGGAGGACGAAGCGGGCTGGAACAGGAGTCAAATCTCTTGCCTGTCCCTCGGAGCCCGTTTGGCCACCGTCGACACCCGGGAGGAGCTGGTAAATGAGAAATCCCTGAGGAACCGGTGTGTCGGTGGCTTTTGGGAAGCAGATTTGGGATTCCCCCGGAGAGTGTAGCGTGAAGACACATATGAAACTTGCTTTTTTTCCCCCCTCCTCCAGCGTTTCCTCGTGCGCTATGGGAGTTCCTCGCACTACTGGGTCGGTCTCCGAAGGGAAGGCTCTGGACCTTGGAGATGGTCCAACGGGTCCCTCTTCGACAACCAGTACGTCGTCTTCCGGAGAACATAACCGTGTCCTGGGCTGAGATGGGTCAGGGCTTGAATGCAAGAAGACACACACAGATCTATATAAAAATAAAAATTTAATGAGGTGGGAGCGATTAAACACCACATTTCTTGCTTGGGCTAAAGCCCTTGGGCCGCGGTGTGTGGATTTGCGTGGTGCAGGGGGTTGAGGGCATCCCTGGCTGAACCACCCTGGGACCAAGCAACTGAAAATGCTCCTTCCCCGGTGGAGCCGGAGGCAGTTTTTGTTCTGCGTGGGGCGTCGCCGCTCCTCGCGACGCTGCTGACCCTCATGGGAGACGCTCGGCCGCTGACCTGCGGCTGACAGCGACCCGTTTGCTTCCCTTTGAGTTTCCCTTCTGCCGTTTGGTGCAGGTTCGATGTCCGGGGCGAGGGACAATGTGCCTATATCGCCACTGACGGGATCCGCAGCGACTGGTGCTCCCGGAGGAAATCCTCTGTCTGCAGCCACCCGCAAAAGCGCCCAAGCGGCGTCCAGAAATCCTGAATTTCACCAGCAATTTCCCTCTCGGCAGAGGAGATCAACCACAAGCCGCTCTTAACCCTACCCAACATGGTAGTGAGTCTCCCGGTGTATATATTTATTTCGGTTTTAGCTTAAAAAAGTAGAAACTCCTCGTGACGACGACACGGAGCCGTGACCACGACACGGAGCCATGACCGAAGGGTCCGTCCTGTACTCTGACCACTAGTGTCTTTCCAGCTTTTGCAGTTGCAGAGAGATTTGGGAATATCCAAGAGGCTCGGAAAACCCTGCTTTGCCGGTCGCTGCCACGCTGCAAAGCTCAGTCCCGCTGGTTTTGGTGTCTTTGGTGGGTTTGGAGGAGCGGGAGGCGAGGGGCAGAAACGCGACGCGGAGAAACGGAGCAGAATTATCTCGGAGTCCCCCCTGGCCTTGGGAGAAGACCCCAGCCCCGGGCAAGGAGCAACCAAACCGCCGCTCCGCGATGCCTTTTGGCACCCCGGGGAATTGCCGGGCACCGAGTCTGCCCCGTTGTTCCCTCCGGCTTAAATCTCACTAGCCTCTCCCTGGCAAATCCAGCGCGACGGAACGCCGCGGATGTGGGAGCGCCGGCCCACCCCTCCGAATCGCGGCACGAGCGCCCGAGACGGGACCCAGCGCCGGAGACCCAGAGAGCACCGCGATGGCGACCAGCCTGGCCTCCTGCTGCGTTTCCAGTCACAGCATTTCTCTCGTTACGGGGTTTTCTCCCCCAAAAACCTTGTCAGCTCAGCTGCGAGCGCGGGAACGAACCGCCCTTTTACCTCTTGTTTTTCCATCTGTGTCGGGGAAGTGAGAGGTGTTGGGGCAGCCTGTGCTCCCCCAAAAACTCGTTTCTCCTCCCCAGACCCCCTTGTGTCTACTACTTGGTCTAATAAATATTAGCTCTATCAGAAACTGCCTTTTTTCTATTTACTGGGCTCGCTGTGGCTATGACAGCAGCCCTGCGCGAAAAATACTGCCGCTGCGGCGAGCGTCTTGCTCTTTGGCAGGTGGAAATTCCCCCGCCTTCGCACTTCGCGTTTGGGTGTAAAATAAGTTTAATTGCTTTAATTTGGGGGCTGGGAAAGAGGGTCTGGAGAAGATGGGCAGGGGAACAGCGTTTTTTGGGGTGATGGAGGAGCCTGGCAGCCCGTGGGGGGGGCAGCGTGTCTTTGTCCTTCTCCCTTAACCTCCCCTAAGCTCAGATTTATGGTTTGTTTTATTTTTTTCCCTGAAATGCTGCCCGGCAGCACAGGTTTGGGTCCCTCTGCCGCGGGGTGAGGGGCAGAGCTGGGACCACACCAGGCTTCTGCAGCGAGAGGAGCGACGGAGGAAGGTGACGAGGGCACGGGGTGGTGCAGGGGGAGGGTGATGTGGGTGGGAGCAGCAGTTGGGAGGGTTTGGGGGGGCATCTCGGGGTGCCTTCCCGCTGTCCCTGGTCTTCTTGTCCCCCTGCTAAAAAAAGCTGAGCTTTTTCTGTT